TTTAACTTTCGAAAAACATATGCGACCCGCAAAATACTAGCAACCCTGAATTTTGTCCTGCGAGCGACATAAAATTTGCCGACCCCTGGGCCGTAGCCGATAGTCAGTCACGGCTTCTTCCACATCCGAGTCTATGAATCGAAAAACAAATGGCTGGTTAATTATGGACTGGTGATCGGACTGACGGCCGTGATAGGATGAGAAATCGGGGATGAATTTTTCCGAAGTTTTTTGATGCAGGTCATCAGGCTGTACGAATGAATGAGATGTACGAAAATCATTATTATAAGTTTGGGAAAATTAACTTTGGTTTTATTATTTTAATGTGAAATGGGTGAATTTAGGAAGTGAAATGCTATAAAGCAAGAGTACACGGCGGTTTTTGAGGAGGTAGAACCCTGGATTCTTTCATTTCCGACCTATTATATGGTAAAAAGGGGGTTTTCAGCCGTGCTACTATTGCTATTAAAACAACGAAATCACCTTTCCATCAGTAAACGGGTTAATTTTAGATATAATAAAAAACTCGCTGAAGAACACCAAGCTCATCTATCTCATTAAAAAACACTATAAACTATGATTCGTCTTCTTATTTGGTCTGTAATATATTCGTTTCTGACTTTATATTTTTTTGTAGTACAGGGGGGCGATGAAGTTGTATAAACTACTTTAGAGGGGCGATGGTCAAAAAAGTTTGGGAACCACTGGTATAGACAACGAAATGGATCTTCAGTTATTTTCCACTGTTTTCAAAAGATCCGGAACGTCGCGCAATGTGGATATCATCTATTGGCAGGACTGATGGATTCATGTGAAACACGTAATTTGCATTTATAGGCAAAAATATCCCATCCTGAGCAGCACCGATCCACAACCTCCTGCCTATGGAATCAAAACATTAGACAAATTGGTGTACTGTGCGCATTCACAAATCTTTGCAAATCAAGTGTGCCTTTTGACTAAAGAAAATTTAGCATTGAAATGGCCAATCTCAATATCAACCTAGTATCTGCAGATAAAACCAATTGTTTTTTAAAAATACATTTTTGATGTGCTTTATTTTTCAAATATAATTTATAATTACTGTAAAGTGTGTGATTGGTACCGTGAATATCATTTGCAAATTAGCTCGGGTTACACCCCTCTCAAATAAAAGTTTAGACTCTTAAGTCATATCTCATAATATTCTTTAAACAAAATGTTGCGGCTAGCCGGCTACCCATCAGAATTTTCTTTCAGATCACAAAGTCGCAATATTACGCCTCGCTACGTTTCATTGGCAACTGTATCTGGTTGTAGTATCGGTGTCCAACTTTAGACTGAAACCTTCACAACCAGACCCACCGAAACAATTTTTTTTTCTTGATAGGGTCGTCTTGAAGTTGCTTTCGTTAAAGCACATTGAACACTTTATCTCCACCAATCCACAGTAATCACAAGTTACTTTGTCATTACGATAAGCATCAATAAATGGATACTGAGGATGTATTATCAAGTCACGCAAGCTGAGGTCTTGTGCCACTGTGGTCTTGTTGCAACGTATACTTTGCCATCCATCTATTCCATGGTCGCACCCATATCTGTAAGATAATAGATACAGATAGAGTTGACCAATGACAATAAAAAGACATTTTGGATCAGTTGTACAAGCACCATTAGGATAGGATTTATCTGGGGGGGAGCCAGTTATTTGTTTTCAGAAGCATGGACTTGGATGGTGGGGAATGGTCGTAACCGATCAGCGGTCATGTGAACCACCCTCGGTGGGAGTAGAGCTGCAATCCTCTCACACATAACTATCCCCACATGGGATTGAAACCTGTGAAACTACCAGAGTGATCAGAGATGCGGTGGCGAGCGTATTCCTAGATGGCGAATTCAATTGAATTCTGGTTATTTTTTCCAGGCCCCACGGTGTTAAACTTTAGTTATCTATTCAACCTTTCACACTTAGTAGTAGATTACCTGCTAATCAGGGAAACATAGCAATTGATTATTAATTCCTTACTGTCTTACACAAGTAAAGTCTGCAACTGCAAGTAGGCCCACGCCTAGGCCTACCAATAACAGTAGTTTGTCATCTGCTTTCCATTGAAATGAGGGAGCTTGTGAATATTTAAAGAAATTGATAACGGCACATTATCACTCACCATCAACGAAGTGCTGTCCGCAAACAGTGAAACACAAGTGCGATGGCTTCTGGACTTGACACCAAGCAGTTCTGCCAATAGGCAATAGATGATATCCACATTGCGCGACGTTTCGGATCTTTTGAAATCAGTGGAATATTACTGAAGATCCATTTCGTTGTCTATATATTATACGTACAGCCAACGGAACAATACGAAATAACCATTTTCAACAGCCAAACAAAACGGAAACGTATAATCCGACTTGCAACTGACAGAAGCCAAATGGACGTTTTTGTTTTATTGCCGTCCAGTAACAAAGTCACGTGACCCGTGCAAGTCCTCTAATAGAGGTAATAGGAAGTGTACTGTTATATCGGCATTGTCCAAAATAATATCGGTAAATCTCTAACAGTAATGACCAGTCAATGTTTACACAGTATGAATTGGCTATGTCACTGTGCGTCAGTGTTTAATGTCCTTCATACCGTAAGTTGTAAAATGTCATAACGTCATAAAAAATGGCGATTTGCAAGTCATCCTTGTTTCGTCATAATATACGTCATTTCTAAGATGGCGCAATCGCGAAGCACATGTGCCTACATATAAGCAGACGAACCCATGGTTCCAATCGCCATTCGAATGGCCACTTTGTAGGAGGCTGTTAGGCTGCAATTTGGACTCCGGGGTTGAATTTTTAATATCTCGGCCCTGGGCCATAATAACGAAATTTGTGTCTTTTGTGATTGGTAATGGATGTTGCGATGGCGAGCGTAATTGCAAATCTTTAGCATGAGGTGCGAACGGTTATCGGTAAGTCAGCTACAGTGTGGCACTAATTATCAATTATAATCACGCTGAATTTATTGAATAAATCGAAGAAAACTTTACTTATTAAATTCAAATACACTAGAAATGCATTTGTAAGTTATGTATATTGATCATCTTAGACGTGATTGTGATGTAGACATTACGTCTACTAGATTCTATTATGATGTAAAAGATATTGACACGGTATTGAAATTGATCAACTTAGTTTATGATTTATAGCTAGTTCCAAAAACTCAAACTACGTTCGTTACATTTTCGAGTTTCTTTGAATTAGTGTTTGATATAACCCGATTCTTTACTCTTCGGACTGTATTTCTGAATATCGCGGGGCAAATAGTTCCCGGAATAGTGCAAATGTGGCCGAGTTATATCAGACAATCGCGCGCTCACGATGTGATTGGTTGTTATTTGCGAACAACGCCTACAAAACGCCCACTGTAAATACAATTTCCGAGGTTACTTTCGTTCAACAGACGGTTTCGTGCGCCTTTGTATTACAGTTCTGAAGCCTGTCATATCGTTGTCCAAATTAGTTTGACAAGTTGGAACCTAGCCAAGTACCGGTCAAATACAAATTTATTTTAAGTTTTACGCGATATATGGTACAATTTTCTGAATTTAGAGTATCATAATGCTCAAATTTATTTCCATTGCTGTATCGGTATACGGTACGGTATGTCTAACGATATGATAAGAGTTAATTTTGATATCATTTGTAAGCAAAAGCTGGCAAGACAGTTTGGATAATGGCAGAATGTCAAAGGCATATGGCAAATCACGGGCACTTCCGATCAGCTTCCGGTATCGGGTTATTTTGCCAGTTAAGTGCATTGCGGCACAAGTGTATCATGTAGTACAGCTATATCCAGATGTAGCGGAATGTCTTCTCATCAGCAAAATACATGAATAGGCGCCAGTTTGAATTTAACGTTGAAATAAATTGTCTGACATTGTATGTCGAACCGCGGGCTCCCCAGGTCAGGTAGTTAGAGTTAGTAGCCGAATTGTGTAACCAGTTTATGGCAGGCTTGTGGGTCTCATGCAGTTTCTTACCTAAGATACTTCTAGTGGGTGTAGCATGACAATTTTTCCACGTATCAATCCTAACCCCCACCTGACTACACCATCCAAAAATTATGTCAACACGACGTCACAGTGACGTAATAGAGCCCTTCAAACTATACGAACTGCTATCCAAGACGCGCAAACGAGCATGGCGTAGTCAGATGGGGGTGAGGATTGAAATATCAATAAATTGTTATGCTACGCCCGCTAGAAGTATGTTAGGTACGAAACTACACGAGACCCAGGCTTGTTTGTACTGTAACTGCATATATACACAAGGGTCGGGAGCCTAGATGACCTTAATCGGTCTTGCACACCGACCCCCCAAAACAATGATCAATTATTCATTGTTATTACTGTTGTTATTAACTATTTTCTTTATTGTATTATGTTTATATTAGTGTTAATTTTGTTTTTGTGGCAGTAAATCTCTCTCTAACTGGGGAAGAAATAGGATAGGATTTTACATATTTTAGTATTTATCCTGGGGGGAGAGGAAAACCAATAAGACGGCTTAATCATATATAGCGAACCATGGTCTCTCGTACGGTTACCAGTCCATATCGGGTATGGGTCAGTTACCCAAGTATCTGTTCCAAATCTAAATCTGCACGCTTCAAACCTTACTTGAGGTTTTGTTGGCTCTCCTGATTCTATAATCAGTTACTTCTATTTTTTGTTTTTATCTATTATTTTATCGTCTATTGCTGATTATTGAGTCGAAATATACTTATACTTCATGTGCATGGATTTAGGGTCATAACTGTGCTGTTATTTCTTCCGAAGTCCATGAATTTGAAATGATTACCTGCTGTAGCTATCCTCATGTCATGGTAGTCAGCTGAAATGGCAGGGTCCAATATTCTCCATGAAATGAAAACCTAATTTATTTTTTATCTCCTTGAATATATATGAAACTCTATCCTAAATTTCACCAATATTTCTTATTTTTAGATTTTTTTTGTTTTTAGTAACATCAAAAACTAAGATAACTAAAATTTTACCGATTGGGATGTCTTCTGTGAAGAAACCTCTCATATTTCGACAGGTACTTTTTGATATTATACTGTCATAGCCCCACCAGTATTTCAATAAATCCTGTAGGTTGCTGTTTGGATCAACTGATGAATCCCCCCCCCCCCCCGGACCCGCCTGGAGAGGAGATTCTTCAGTTGGAATCACCTTGGGGGGGGGGGATTCTTCAGTTTGTCTCAGTTGGGGTGGAGATTCTTCAGTTGATCCCGTTTCCCAACTGAAGAATATCCCACCTAAGCCGATAATACCAGTTGATCCTTCATTTGACCTGGACTAATTCTTTGGTAGGGTTAGGGTTAGATGGTCTTAGTTGGGGTGGGTGGAGATTCTACAGTTGGTCTAACTTGGGTGGAGATTCTTCAGTTAGTCTTATTGGGGGGGAATTTCCAGTTGCTCCCAGTGTTTTTTAGACTTTTTTACCCTTTCGGCTCAGCCAGTAATTAAAATAAAAATGTTGACAATTTCAATAATGCAGTAGAAATTGATAGAAATTTTATGTGCTTGCATATTATCGCACAAAAGATCAGAATTGTCACTATTCCAGTGGTGGTGGCCGGTGGGTGTTTATACTGATTTCAAATTCATTGATATTTTGTTTTAACGAAAAGATTTTACGGCCACACCCTTCCGCAACCCACCAAGATGTCGACATCTCCAGTTTGCAAAACCCGGGAAATGCAACATGAAAACTTGAAAGATTGCAATACTATCAAAACATAGTGGACTTTACATATTATTGCCAGCTTGTCTGAAGCCTTGGTTAGAGCAAAGATATAAAACACCTTGCACAGCATAGGAATATGATAATAGCAATGCAGAATTATAGGGTCAGGCTTTGATGTAGAAAATCTAAGGGTGCCCATAAAGTCCTCTTTATAATTTCAATTTAGTTATGAAGTCAGTTCTCAATATATCTTAACCAGGTTTGTTGTTTTTTAATCAGTAATTGTTCAAGTATTAATAATACTTCTTAATACATCTGTGAGGGTCAAAACAATATATGGTATCGGTGAATTCCTTTTGTAGTTTTAAAATTTTTTAAGATTTCATAGACACCCTATATATATTTACACAAGCATATTTATAAAGCACCTGTTCAAATATGATTTCTCTTTTATATCATCTGCAATAAGCTCTTCAAAAATCTACTCAGAGCATAACAAATTGGATGAGCTGGACATTAAAGATTATCTCATACATATGCCTCTGACTCCAAACAAGGCTTTGTGCAAGCAGCTGGTAATGGGTAAAGAACTGAGAAAAACTATTCTGAAATGTCCCGGAATTTTTCTGTTTCGCCGATGCCCAGCCAATCTATTACACCAGTGGTTCCCAAACTTTTAAGTAACGTTACCCCTAAATCAAATTACCAAAAAACTCAATTATCCCTTTCATAAAGTACAATAGTCATATCGTTATCACTTTCACTTTGACTGAACATGACGATAATACTAAAACCTATGGCATATTTCGATCAGACTGACTTCAAGTTACTTGCGCTAGCTGATCATTTCAGCCTACAATCTCCATTGCCAAGTCGTGGTATTATATCCCTAGAAACCACATGACTAATCGCAGACTGGTCGAAAGTACAGGATTAGGAAAAAACTGTCAATTTACCCCTTTGAGGGTATTTCCCCCCAGTTTGGGAACCACTGTATTACATTGAGGGGGTGAGTCGTGGGATTTAAACCCGAGGTCGCTTCAAATCACTTGTCCCCTTTCATATCGTTAGATATCAATGGTTACTTGTTCAGGAACTTGTTCGGAGTGAAAGCAGTAAATAGGTGTCATATAAAAAAATATACTAAACCAGTGGTTGCCAAATGCCAACCTCTCATGGTTTGTGGCCCCCTTACAGAGGCTTTTAGCACTTATGGTCCCTCTGTTTGTCACTACAGGAGTATATATAGTGTTATTTTTTATTGGCAGACCCCAAATCCCATTATGTTCAAACAATTCATGCACGAATAAGTGAAAAAAAATGTAAAATAATTTTATCAAGCATTAAAACTAGGAAGAACGGGGCCTTTTCTTGTAAAAAGAAAAGTAAAATCAGTGTAGCGCCTGGCATTATAGCTAGGGCTGGACATTTTCGAATACCTTGTGATTTCAGAATCGAATCAAATAATTTTTTCGAATCGAATCGAATCTCGAATACTTGAAAATACATAATTGTAAGCGACTTTATTATAGTAATTGGTCCTCTCAACAAATGAATTACTGAAGACATAGAATAAATCACTCAGATAGATTACTGAGCGTTCACACAGAATAACATACACGTTTTTTCAATAACTCACTACAGAAAATAGTCATATGTTAGAATTACGTTGAAAAAATATGACTCCAATGAAAAAAAAAATTGGGGAATTCACCTCGACCATTAGCCGAAAGATAAAAACAAGATGGTGGCAATTCGAAATTTAGCTCTGAACCGATTCGAATAATTTATATTCGATTGGATTCGAATATTCAATTCGAAATGCCCAGCCCTAATTATAGCCCCCTACAATTGCCCTGTGGGCCCCGGGCCCTCGGTTGGGAACCGATGTACTGAACTATCATAACACAATGTATTCCGAAAAATTGAATATTTGATTCCAGCCATCCCTGCTTGCAACTACATTTTCTTTTTCAGTTGTTTGATAGAGAGACCTGCACTTACACCTACTTACTGGGATGTCCTGAGACAAGAGAAGCTGTGATCATTGACCCAGTGATTGAGTTGGTGAGAGATTGGGGCGCTTCAGAAGTATGTGCACCAAGATGGCGCACAACCTGAACCCTAACCTGGTACACATACTGTGTTCATGATGTGCGCCATCTTGGTGCACATACTTCTGGAGCTTTGAGATTGGTTCATAATATGATTATCTAAAGATGTATGGATTGAATATTCAAATTCATTGGAATATTAATTTGCACTATTTTGTACATCGGATTTCAAAAAACTCAGTAAAAACTTTGACTCCAGCACCAAGTACTGGTTTCTGCCATAAAAGCATCATTATTTTGTTTCCATGGTTAAATATAGACTGTAGTGCTAGGAGTCTACTTTTTTGTTGAAATGATGACTGCTTGCTATATACCAACTAGCCTATTGTTTTTTTTCGAATAGCATATTTAGTTTGATTTTATTATATGTTCTATTGTTTTTTTCCAAGAGGCCCGCTGCTCGTTAATCAGTATTGGAACTTCCCTCCACCCGGATGTGCGATTTTTTTTATATTTCTTCCAATTCGTTTATGTATAGGGCGTATTTTCAGTGATAAATCTCAGATCTGTCTAAGTGACCTATTATATATATTGACGAAGTAGGGCACTCAAGAAGCGTGTATGCCAATCCAATTTTGTTTGTCTATTTTACAACAAGTTGTGTAAACGGACTGAAACCTATGGTCAGGGGGTGTATTCACTTGGCTAACAAAGACAGTCCTCGAACTCATAATAGAACTAAAATAAGGAAAATTGGAATAAAATTATGGCCTAACCCTAACCTGGTAAACATACTATGGAAGTGTCAAGGAGAGCATGATAACCAAATAAGGTTCAATTCATTGTCTTTAAATTCTAATTATTATTCTAGGTTGAACGAGATACAACCTTGATCAAAGAACTAAATCTGAACTTAAAATATGGGCGTGAGTAAAATTCATTATTTATTTAGTCAGGTTGATAATATTGCTGCAGTTTCCTCCTTGCTTAAGACTTGCCATGTATATTACAATTATAAAGTACAGCAGTTTTCACTCAAACATATATAAAACATTGCTTACAGTCATATCTGAAACTTTATTCAAAATTTAACTGTTTTTATCCTAATTAAAGAAGAAACCTTTTTACTCTGTCTAGTGATCTTTCTAACAAACTTGATGTTCTAAGGCAGTGGTCGGCAAGCTTTTGTCGCTCGTGGGCCCAAATTAAAGGTTGCAAGTCATTGGCATGCCGCACATATTTTTAGAAAGTTAAAAACCGAATGGATTGCCGATGAATCAAATTTCTTTACTCAGATCAGAAGTTAAATTTTAAGTAGAGCGCGAAGACTGACTATTCGAATATTTTCTGCTCCATTAAACCATTTACTTTTAGCATGAACTTCTCTGCGTTTTGTTGCCATTTGTCTAATTATAATTGCATTATAGGCTCATAAAACGAGTAATTGTGAATCATATCTAGTCTACGTATAGAATATAATCGTCAAAACAGCTCTTTTGTTACTATAATGCAGTGAAGCGGCCGGATCCGGCCCCCGGGCCGTAGTTTGCCGACCCCTGCTCTAAGGCTTCTCAGTACTCGTATCGATGTGCGACTTTTGTGCTCATATATTTGAAAATTGCACACTTGTTTCTGGATGATGCATATCTTTTCCCAGCGATTCTCGCATCATACTAGGCGTCGGGAACATGCTCTTCATCACACTTTCTTGGATAAACAGTTCTAAGTATCGTTTGGGATAATTAGGTGTGAAGGGTTTGCTGAAGACTTTCATATATTTGAGCATTTGAGCGGTTGACCTTCTTGACCTTGAAGTATTGCTCGCCTCCTTCCGACTACATTTTATGACTATTGTTTGTTTATTTATTCTCACTGCAATATACACTTATATGTAATGAAATATTTGAAAATAAATCATTTTCTTTCTTGTTTCAGTGAATACGCATGTACATGCTGACCATATCACAGGGACTGGAAAATTAAAAGAAAACTTTCCTGGATGTAAATCTGTCCTTGGGAAACATTCTGGAGGGAAAGCTGATGTTTGTATGGATCATGGAGATAAAATCACATTTGGAAATCAGGTTTGAAAAGTTTGATTTGGACTGAATTCTGAAATAGTTTGAATAGTTTTTGCCACATTTTTGATGCATCCCTTTCCTATTTTGAAACTACTCATTCGCCACTTACTATGCACATACACTCACAAACATACATACACACACAAACAAACATACACGTACATAAATACACACTCACATGTACAAACACATACATACGATACATACACACTGATTCACATACAAATAAACTCTACACACAAACAATACATATATAAACACATTTATGTATAAACCCACACACAAATACATATACAAACACACACAAGCACACATATACTTGCACACACATGCTTACAATTGAACATTCGCACACAAACTTCACTGTATAAAACTGAACTCTGAAACATTTCGGATAGTTTTTGCCACATTTTTGATACATCCCTTCTTTAGCCTATTTTGAAACTCCTCATTGGCCACTTATTATGTACATACACTCACATACATACACACCCACATATTCAAACACATAGAGACACATACAAACCTTCTATTGCCAATTTGGAATTTTCCATTCACCACTTACTATGCACATGCATTGACAAATTTACACACACATACAAACATACACTTATATAAATACACACACACGTAGAGACACATACAAACACATACATACATATACACACACTCACATTCAAATAAACACCCACATACAATCAACATATATATACATACATACATTTCAGTATAAACTCACACACACACTTACAAATGAACACATACATGAGCACACACTCACATACAAAGAAATCCCCACAATCAATACATATATAAGTACATTTCTGTATAAACCCACACACACACATAAACAGGCATACATACACTCACACATACGCACACACTTACAAATAAACACCCACACACAAGTAACACATACTTACAGACATATCTGTATAAACTCACACACACATAGATACACATACAAACAAACACATGGACATGCATACATTCATACACTCCCACATACATACACAACACATGGATACACATTCAAGCACACACATGAACATACATACATCCAGTCACACATACATACACAAATACATATGCACACACACACACACTTCATTTTATTTTACCCATTTTTCAGACCCTCGAAAGTCGCAGCACTCCTGGACACACACACGGATGTATGACATATGTTTGCCATGAACACAAGATGGCTTTTACAGGGGATGCTCTCATGATAAGAGGATGTGGAAGGACTGACTTCCAACAAGGTATTTTGTGGTTTCATGTAGTTTCGTACCACAATAACTTCCAATGGGGGGCGGCGCAACAACCCGCACCTCACAGTGACGTAACAAAGCCCGCCAAAGTATCATACGGATGGTTGTCCAAAACGAGCAGGCGATTGATCGAAGTCAAGCAAGCTATTTCTCTCGTTTTCTCGTCGTGACGATCCCGATATGAGAGAAATGTTTGGCGTTAGTGAGTTCGTTATCGTTGGCGCAAATGCCATTTTAGACAGATTGTAGCTATACTTTGGCTAGCTTTATGACACTATTGTGACATAGTAGTGACTTAATTTTTGAATGGTGTAGTCAGGTGTGGGTTAGGAATAACATATGCAAACAGGGTCATGTCTTGACCACTGTAAGTACTTGTGGTACTAAACTACACTCTACCGATATTTTGGACAATTGCTTAGGTATTTTATATCACACTCCTAGTACCATTTCTTATGTTGCAAGGAGCCGTTTGCTTATTATTTCTTCAACGTGTCATGTAAGTGTGACGTTAAAAGTTACATTACATGAACACTAGCACTGTGGCCCTCTCCCAATTGCTTTGTGGCCCCCCAGGCGGCCCCGGTTGGGAACTGCTGATCTAAGGGTTTCCTGGAACACAGTGTTACAAAAGCAAAATATGAAAACAATAAGCCTCGTGCCAAAACTAAATTTAATTGAAATCTCAACAAATTCCTTAAGCTATTGTTAGCTAAAACATCGAAATTTGGTTTTAGTCCGATTGTAGCAGCGTTAGTCGGGCCAGATCTTGCCCACAGATTGAGTTTGACTATGTCAGTTCTAGATTTCAGTCTTATTCTTATAAGGTAATTTCATGACTTCATGCTGAAAAAGGAGTTCCAGAAACCTTTAGGTCAGCGGTTCCCAACCGAGAGCCTGGAGGGCCATAAATCAGTTGGAAGGGGTCACAGTGCTAGGTGTAAAACTAATTTCGCTTTTCCCCTTGTCAAGAAAACTTTGTTTCTAGCCAGTTTCATTGCTTGATAACGTGATTTCACAGGGTGTCCTCACTCGGTGGAGCATGAATTCTTTGAACATGATAGGGTTTGAAATCGGCCGATCAAAATGACTCTATAAATTCCACTGGAATAATAAACGGGGGAAGGCCATGAGAGCTAAAAGTCTCAGGAAGGGACTATGACCCATAAAAGGTTGGGACCCACTGATCTAAATAGACCGGAATGTTAAAATCAGTAATTAAAACAATGTTCTATCAAATTTTGTTGGAATCTATACTTAACGATTTTTAATGTCTCTCTTTCTCAGGTCGTACGTTAACCACAGTTGAAGAAGAGAAGAAGTTTAATCCACGTTTAACACAAACAAAAGAAAAGTTTATTGAAATAATGAACAATCTTAATCTCTCTCCTCCCAAGTTTATTGGTGAGTCGATGTATCAATTTGGAATTAGTATTTATCCCAGGGGGAGAGGAAAGCATTAAAGCATTAAGGCAGATTATCGGTAATCATATGGCGAACCACGGCCTCTCGTCCGGTTACTAGTCCATGTCGGGTATGGGATTAGTTAGCCAGGCATTTGTTTTCGGAAGCATGGACTTGATGGTGGATGAAGCCGTAACCGACAAGCGGTTACGTGAACCACCCTACGGCGGCGAGGAGTCCAGCAATCCTCTCGCACATAATTAACCCTACATGGGATTAGAACCTGTGAACCCCCGCAGGGTAATCAGAGGTGCAGTGGCTAGCGTATTCTTAACGCTTAGCACAATGAGCCACACTGCTGAGCTGAAGATTTTCATATTTTTACTGGATGAAGGAGAGATAATGAGATGGCAAAATTTCATGGCGACCAATGCCCCTTGTCCTGTTACTAGTTCATGTCAGTTATGGAAATAGCTTGCATGTTCTTGACTGGATGATGGAGTATGTCACAACCAACCAGAAGTTATGTGAAAAATACATCGGCAGGTAAATCCAGCAGTCCCTTGCACAGTATCACCTCCGCAGGTTATCAAATGTGTTCCTAACTATTCCCTACAGCAGTGGTTCTCAACCTTTCATGACTCATGACCCCCTGTTTATAGTCCATAGAGGTATTTATAGTGGTGTTTTTATTGGCAGAATCCATATCCCATTATGTTCAATCAATACATGCATGAAAAAGCGAAAAACATCTTGTGAAATAACCTTGTCGAGCAGTAAACTGGGAAGAACAGGGATATTTCTTGTAACATGAAAAGTGAAATCAGCTTTGGGCCCAGCATCATGACCCCCCCCCCTCCAACTGCTCTGTGGCCCCCTTAGGGGGCCGAGGGCCCCAGGATGAGAACTGCTGCCCTACAGGATCCGAGCCGATAGGATAAATTATATTTCTTAGTAATCGAAGTTGCACATGCAAGGTGATCAAGATGCTTTCATTTACCTTTATGAGCTTCACAGTCTTCAACCTAGGCTTCATATTTTGCTGTTTTAATTTGATACTAAAAAATTTGACCCATCCATTCCATGCTTCTAAAAACAAATAACAAACGAACTAATCCCATACCCGACCTGGACTGTTAACCGGACGAGAGGCCGTGTTTCGCCATATGATTAAGCCGTCTTATCGTCTTTCCTCTCCCCCGGGATAAAATGTAAAATCCTATCCTATTCAAGCAATGCTTTCTTGTTTTCTCAGATAAAGCTGTTCCAGCCAACCTTGTCTGTGGAGTATTCGACCCGTAGTATGCCAACTAGCTTCTCCGCTTATTGTGCGTTTTTGTTTTTAATATGTATGTACTTGTACAAGTTCAAATTTTTTTATTTGAAGGCTCTCACCCTGACATGGGCCAAATCCGGCCTGTTGGGTAATTCATTCTGGCCCGCCTGATGCTGCCATAAGCAAACTAAAATCAAATTTTGATGTTTTAGCTAAAAATACCTCAAGGAATTTGTTGAGATTGCAATTAAATTCATTTTGGCACAAGGATTATTGTTTCCCACCTATGCTTTTGTAACAATGTAAATATTATTCATAATTGTAACGTTTTACACACACTTACATATGGCCCGGCAGCCTAGGTGGGCAAAATTTTTGGCCCCTGATTCAAAAACCTTGCTCAAACCCGCTCTTGACAAACATTAATTAATTTATAGACAACTTGATCTCTCTGGTTCAGCTCAGAGACTATTCAGTTATTATTACACTTCAATTAGGTTTGAGGCATTTTGTGATTTCAACCTTGAAGCGGTAGCTTCGGATTCAAATCCATAATCTAAAATTGAAATCTGGAAAGTCACATCGAATCTTGAAATTGGCTGGTGTTGGTCGGGCGAAGTGTTACAAAATAAAATTGGTAAAGTTAAATGAAAGAGTTTTGAGCCTTTACATTATACATATTATGCAAAACCTTATTTTTCCATATTTTTTTATTGCTGATTTACACATAGTTAACATGAGGGGTCATGACCTGCATAGCCTAACAGAGTGATCCATGGCCTGATAGTGACCGTATTAGCAACCCCAAGTCAGTTTCTTCCTACCTCTTTCTAATAATAAGATTTCTGTTGTATATGGTGTCCATAAATTCTTGAAATTTTTCAAAATGTCAAAGGAGATATAATTCATGCACTGAACAGTATAATGTTCAAACTTACACTGAAATTCGGGCTACACCGAGTCTCAGGAACGGAACTGCGTCGTAAGTCGAGGACTCCCCGTACATCAATACTATCCATATATTGTTTTGGCCCCTTGATGTATGTACAACTTTGGTTAAGATATATCGAGGACTGACTTCATAACAAAATTGAAACTGTAAAATGACTTCATGGACACCTGTATAACCATATATGGTTGAGTGTAAAAACTAACCTCTTACTCAGTACCTGCATTATGGAGTTCAGAATTCTGATGAACTTGGTTTTTGATATGGTGGCATTGTTTTGTATATATTCACTTCACACAGGGGATTCAAACTTCTATCACAGCGCTATATTTAACCTTTTTCTAAAAGTCACTATTAAGCACCCTTCCCTCTGGGTACTATATTCTTTTTAACTCTCTGGTGTTTTTGTATTGTATGGATAGCCATAGTTTGACTATATGCAAACTACGGATAACTCAATCGGGCCCGCCTGATGCAGCCACAACCAAATTTTGATATTTCATCTGAAAAATTAGAACAAGGATTAATTGAAATAGCGAATAAATTTAGTTTTGGCATGAGGCTCATTGTTTTCCAATTTTGCTTTTGTAACACTGTAAATATTCTTCATAAAATAACACTTACGTGGCCCATCTGTCTTGGTGGGCTGAATTCTTGGCCCCTGGTCCAAAAACCTTGCCCCCCCCCCCCCCCCTGGCATAGCGCATACCTAACTCTTAGCACAGTGAGTGAACCCAAACCCAAGTGTAAGTAACTATTCAGCCTAAACATTTATTACTTTTCTAAATTTTTTGGATACAAAGTTCCCTCTAGTAAAGCCTAACTTTTATGCATACCAGTTTACTGACATTTCTTCATTTGTATCTTAATATTAAGCAGGCACTTATTTCAACTATTTGGTATAATTTGTATATTTTTATTCGATACATGTAAATATATAAAAATGGTGACCGTACATTTGAACCCACGTACATTTGAACCCATGCGTATATCCACGGGTTCAATCTATATGCGGGTGCTAAAACCGATGGGTTAGGGTTAGTATGGGTTTAACTATCCGTGAAACAAAAAGAATTCCATAGGTGCAATGGCATACAGGTGCAATTGTCATGGGTTCAAATGTACGTGGGTTCAAATGTAATGGAACCTATAAAAATATATTGTGTTTCACCAGAAATCATCTAGGGTTCGTTCGGTATGTTAGAATAAACGAATGCTAGATAGAATAAGATTTTCGTATTCATTGGGGGAAAGGAGAAACACAGAACAAGAACGGAATTGAAAACAAACTAATAATTCATTAGTATACAAAATTACTAAAGTAGAAGAAAAAAATGAAGAAAATTTTCACACTGTGTCATTTACCTATGACGTCACGGCATGATATTTTAATTAGTATACTCAAAAATGAAAAAAAATAACACACTGTCATTACATATTACGTCACTTAAGTGATGACGTCAAGATATTTGATTAGTACACTCAAAAATGAAAAAAATTAAACACACTTCGTCATCTACATTTTACGTCACTTAAGTGATGACGTCATGAGGATCGACTTTGATTGGTGGAGCAAAACAACATTGTTTGTAGTAGTATGCAGTCCCGATGATTATCGCAATGACCGTCAGGATCAGCGCAAGTGAGCCACCTCCTATCTGCCCTTGTCTGTAAGATGAAGAAAAAGGTGGTGGTATTCGGCGGATTCACGCGAACTAGTTCGTGGTAATCAGCGAAACCGTTTTTGTTTTAGATGTTAGAGTTGTTTTAATTTGTAATTCCGAAGGGTTTAACGCAGTCCAAAACAACACAGCAAGTAAAAAACAAATAATGGTGAATGCATGGATAAAGATGAATGGGACTCATAAACAAAATACTTTCATTAGTTAGTGTGAGTATTCGTATATTAGTGATGTAACTTTAAAGGTCCCGGTTGCCCATAAAAATACCTAGTTGCACTTTCAATGCGTTTCAATCAAAAGAATAAAACGAGAACAGAGACCGAAGACTTATCGATCAAAAGTTAGGTGATCCCCCAAAACAGCGCTATTACTCCATAGTGACACCTTGTGTCTCCTAATTAATCAATTAATAACTCGCTAATTATACGACATAATTCGCCAAAAATCAATATGCTCCTGGTCCGAAATATGATAAATGCACATGCAAAATCTGCAGCAGATCCAATCTCACTTTCGTGAGATATCGCGTGCATCTAACAGACAAATACCTATCAACATACTTACCGATTAAGATCGATAAGTGATAATAAAATCGATAAGTAATAAGTCGCAGTTACTTAACCTTACAAGGCATACTTTATCATTTGTTGAAATTATCGAACAACTCACCCCCGATCTGTGTCGTAGAAGCATCCGTGAGCTGTGAAAAAAATATGTACATAGTTAGGCTTACCATACGTCCCGCTTTAGGCGGGACAGTCCCGCTTTTCCGCGTTTTGTCCCACCGTCCCGATAGGCCAGCCAAAAGTCCCGCTTTTCCAGCATAGTAGCCTACACAAAAATGTTCTCGTTACTGTTGTTTATGACTTATGTGTAGCGCAGAGCTAGCCTACTTACTGAAGGCGAATGCGTTCGTTTCCCGCTGATTCCCATTGATGGCAGACGTATCGTCTCAATTCGAATTATTTGTACCGGTATCGTTAACTTCAATTCCTTCCTATTTTTCGAACTGAACCCGATATTTGGACAGAGAATATGCGCATGAAATTTCGATAACAATATGGTCAATAAAGACAGCCGAGACAGCTTTAAATGTAGGAATGTAGGCCTCTGTAGTAAAATCGGAAAATGTGAAGTTATAAAATCACAGCTAAGGGGTCGTTGTCTTCCGAGGCGTCCCGATTTGAAGACACAAAAATATGGTAACCCTATATATAGTATATTAGTAGTTCAATAGTTTTCCATGAATTTTATGTTTTTGTTTACGGTAATCATTGTGGTAATTTATATTGTATTATTGCATATTTTGCATACACAATCATTATTATCATGTCATTATTTCATTGCATGCCCCAATATTCACTAGTATAAATACTGTTCATTCAGCTGTAAAGGGACTGTCTGATATGTTGAGCATGTCTGTTTGATTGACTTTAATAGTAAACTTTTATTCCGCTTATTAAATATGTCTTTCTATACGATGTCCTACACATTCGCTCAAAACAAGAACTCGACACATGCGGTCAAATGCGGAACTCATATGTTTGCTTCCTCAAAATTATCTTAAAATCATTCTAAATTGACAGAAAAGAATTTTTTTTTATGACATTTCTTATATATATATATATATATATAAGAAGTGTGTGTCCATAAAGTCCCTTTACAATTTCAATTTTGTTATGAAGTCAGTTCTCATTGCCTATCTTAACCGGGTTTATTGTTTTTTAATCAGTAGTTGTATTTTTACTTTATTTAATATATCTGTGAGGGCCAAAACAGTTTATGGTATCGATAAATTTCCTTTGCAATTTTGTAAAATTTTAAGACTTCATGGACACCCTATACATGTTTTATTTTTGAATAAACAAATCAGGCCTATTTTAAAATTACACTCATTCAACCAAAGACACGTTCTTGAGGCCCTGCTGTGTGGTGCATCGTTTTATGTATATATTAGGAATAAGCTTGCCACCGCACCTCTGATTACTTTGCATGGGTTCGCAGGTTCGAATCACATGCGGGGATGGGTATGTGCGAGAGAATTGCTGGATTCCTCGTCACCATATGGCATAGGGTGTTTCACGTGACCGCTGGTCGGTTGCGCTTTCTCCACCATCGAGTCCATGCATCTGAAAACAAGTAATTGGCTGACTAACCTCATACCCGGCATTGACTGGTAACCGGACGAGAGGCCGTGGTTCGCCATACGATCAAAGTCGTCTTATCGGCTTTCTTTTCCCCCGGGATAAATATGTAAATTGTATTCTATTCTTGATAGATCCTGGCAAAGGTATTTTGAGAAAGTTTGGACCTGGGTATTTATTATGCCTAGACTACAGAACAAGTTCAATTGACCAATCTGTTCCGATTTAATTGAAAACCATTAGATTCCGATATTTTGATAGGATTACACTTACCGGATATTATTTGAGTAATCAGGAAAATCAGTACTACTGTCGATGAGTAGCGCTGCATCTCTTCCGTCATAAATGGAAATGAAATTTCTTCCGTTTGTAAGTACCGAATTTACAACTTTTAAGAATAGTAATTTATACTGATATCTAGAAAAAAGGCAGATATATTATGGCATCATTTCGTCATAGAAATCTATCATTATCAGTAGAGGTAACGCGAGACTAACTCTCAACCCTTCCCTAATGTCTTTGCGTTATTCGATACGTTTGCGTATATTGCAAGGATGCTGTAACAGGAATAAACGTACCACCATATCGTCACGCTAATAACCGAATTGCGTAAGTCATTTTTGGCGGTTTTGATTTTTTAATAAAATAGGTATTTATGTAATGCTGCGCACCTGTCTGTTAACTCAGATTTTATTTTAGGAATTCCGAAACCCATAAAAATTGAGATTTTGTATGACATGCAAATTTGTTCAATTGTTTCGTCATAATGAATTATCATTGTTAACGCAGAACTATTGTGACGTCACAAAAGCAAAATAACCTCGGCGAATGATTTTCGAGTTTTTGCATCTCAGATTCTAGTTTAGCGCTTTTAAATTTGAATTTATGCTACAATATAGGAAGGCGTGCACTTGTGATATTCACTGTCTGCGTCCAATTCACCTTGGTTGGCTTTTATATAAGGGTACATTGATGTTTTATTCTTTATATTTAATCTTAGTCTTATTTCGATGGGTGTGCAGAGCGTGGTATAGTGATGAAATATATATTTTTAAACATAAAAAATATTGTAATTGAAACATATTAGCTATTTTGAGGATTAGACATCGTAGATACTAAGAATTACATTCGTTTTTGGATTGTTTGGTTTTCAGGACTGGTGCACATAGTCAAGTTGCAAAATGCGTATGTTCCCAAGTCATAGACACATTTCTGCCTAAGTCACATTGCGCCATTATGACGTCATATGACTGCGTCATACAAATGAACTTAAATCCGGCTACATTCAAAAAATTGAACTATGGCAAATTATTGACTCTCAGTGGCATAGCAATATCATTAGGAAGTTTTTCACGTTTTTCTCAAAACTGCTAAAAATGACTTACGCAATTCGGTTATTAGCGTGACGATATGCAATTCAAAAGTCATTGTGCAGCATATTATATCTATCATGTTCATATTCACTGTTGTGATATTGGTGGGAAGTGCGACACGCCTTTTTTTAAATGGGTATTATGACGTCACGTGTTACGGTCAGCCTCATATACACTTTTTGAATAATGGCTACCCCCTCCGTCTCACCTAGGCCTCAGATGCTCCGCTGATAGCGCATATAGGAACTAGAACTAAGATCTGAAGCCGAGCCCGACCCGACCCGACCCGAAATTCGGTTCTGAAATGTCAATCATTACGTTCGGGTCGGGTCGGGCTTCACTATCGCTGACTTTTTTTAAAATAAATATATGTTTATAAAAAATATATACTAAATTTATGTGTGGAATTCGAAGAACTCCTAAATAAAATATGAAATTTCGGGTTTTCTCCGGACTAGGGCCTGAAAATCCAGTTGTTTAGTCGAGCTCGGGTCGGGTTTATTATTCACGGGCCCGGGTCGGCCTGGAATTTTTGGGCCCGATCTTACCTCTAATAGGAACCTATGCTTGCAAAATTAGCCTGCCGATGTGTCGGAATCAATTTAAAATCATATTCTACATGGCTCGTATAATGTTTATACCACCTTGCCTAATGGTAAATCACGCATTGTTTCTACCGTGAGACCGTCGATATAAAGTTCTATCCTTCATGGCCCGTATTGGCATAAATTGCTTCAGCTATCTATAAGTCATACACAGCTCTTGGCGTGTTCGCGTGCAACTTATCTATCAGTCCTCTTTCCACTTTAAGTAGAGGCCTCGCCACCTTCCTTTCAGTAAACATTTATTAAATACTATCGATAGAACATGTATAATGCCTCTACGTCTCATCCCGGACTTCTGACCCGTGTCTTCATCTTGTACATTGTTAAATCTTTCGCCACTCTGCCCCGTCGCCTTTATTACTGGAAGGCAAGGTGATAGCTACATTCTCTTCTCATGCCTTTCTCGCGGCACTCTGGTTTTCGCAAATTTTTTTTATTTAATAAATTTAACTAGTTTATTTGTGTGACCTAGCCAGATGTCTTCCAGGTACAAATACTACGGGAGTCACTTCGCTAGTCCCCAAACTCGTAATAGAACTAAAATAAGGAAAATTGGAATAAAATTACGGCCTAACCCCAACCTTGTACACATACTACGTTTCGGTGTCCGCCATCTTGGTTCACTTACTTTGGGAGTACTGTCTGAAGGCTATATGGATTAATATACACAGTTTTTTTCCTCGCGACAGAAGTGGAACAATTCAAACACACACAGTGGTTCTACTCACCACACCGCTGAATTGTCATTCTGTTTGTGTTCACTTTTGATATCACGATGAAAAGGAACGCTAGCCTTTGGTTTATAATGTTTAGAAAGCTTTATATAAATTTTACAGACATCGCTTCCACCGACGAAATAAAATGATTTTTAACTTTTGTTTACTTGGCGATGTAAGCGATGCCTCCTTGGTGGTTGGAATCGCAAGGATGGGCAATGTTTCTGGACCAAGGGCCAAAAGTTTTGCCCATCTAGATCGGCGGGACATGTAAGTGTGACGTACAATATTTGTAGTGTTACAAAGCAAAGGTGGGAAACAATAAGCCTCGTGCTAAAACTAAATTTAATCGCAATTTTAACAATTTCCTTGAGTTATTTTTTAGCTAAAACATCAAAATTTGGTTTTAGTTGCTTGTGGCAACATCAGGTGGGCCAGATTGGATTACCCACCGGGCCGTATTTTCCCCTTGTCTGGTATGAAAGAACAAAATTATTCTTGCGACAGAAGTGAAAGAAGTGGTTCTACTCACCACACCGCTGGATTGTCATTCTGTTTGTGTTCACTTTCGACATCACGATGAAAAGGAACGTCAGCCTTTGGTATATAATGTTTTAAAAACTTTATATCAATTTTACAGTCATCGCATCTATCGACAAAATAAAATAATTTTTAAATTTTGTTTACTTGGTGATGTAAACGTTGCCTTAGTGGTTAGACCGCAGAGATGGGCAATATTTTTTTACCAGGGGCCAAAAATTTTGCCCACCTAGTCTAGCGGGCCACATGTAAGTGGTGTGACGTAAAAAGTTATATTTTATGAACAATATTAACAGTGTTACAAAAGTGGAAAACAAAAATTCCGTATAATTTATGTATCACTGCAAATGTCGCAAAATTGCATCTAAAAAAATGTTGAAAAATGGGGGTTAGGGGCTCAGCCGTCCTCTGGCTCTACGCCCATGTCAGGGAATGCTTATCTGAAGCCCTGTTTGGGGAAACGTGTAATACACATATGAAATGGTATCTCAGATATAGATTTACGCTGTTAGGAAACCTGTAAGTTTGATATTAATTTTACAGTCCGTCATAAATCGATACAAAACTATAAAATCCCATTTCCTCCAAAAACTCGTCGCTTCCTACGTATTAGTGGCGCTCGTACAATCTTTGTTAGAAGTGTGAAAAACATCTTGTGGGGGTCGGCAAAGTTTCCGGACCGGGGGCCAAAAAGTTTGCCCATCTAGACTGGCGGGCCATGTAAGTATGAATTTAAAAGTTACATTTTATGAACAATATGAAAAGTGGAAAACAATAAGCCTCGTGTCCAAACTAAATTCATACGCAATTTCAACAAATTCCTTGAAATATTTTAAGCTAAAACATCAAAATTTGGTTTTAGTTTGGTTGAGGCAGCATCGGGCCCGATTTGGCCCCCGGGTCGTAGTTTGCCCATGTATGATATGAAGAGCAGGTGCTCCCGAAGTATGCGAACCAAGATGGCGGACATCGGAACGTATCATGGGTAACAGGTTAGGGTTAGGCGATAATTTCTTTTCAATTTTCCTTATTTTAGTCCTATTATCAGTTCGAAGACTAGCCAAGAGCCTCCCGTAGTATTCATACCTAAAATTATGGCCTAACCCTAACCTAGTACACATATTACATTCCGATGTCCGCCATCTTGGTTCGCATACTTCGGGAGCCCCGAAGGAACAGAATTATCCTTGTGCAACAGAAGTAAAACGATCCGGACACAGTGGTTCAAATCACCAAACCACTGAATTGTTAGTCTGTTTGTGTTCACTTTCGACACCACGATGAAAAGAAACTCTATCTAGCCTTTGGTTTATACTGTAAAAAAAACTTGTGAGCTTTATATCAGCGGTTCCCAACTTGGGACCCGTGGCCCCCAAGGGGACCCAGAGAGCATTTTAATGGGGGCCACAATGCTAGGAGCAAAACTTTTTTACTTTTAACTCCACGTTTTTTTCCAGTTTCGTTGCTTTATAAGGTTATTTCCCAAGATGATTTACCTTTTTCGATCTTTAATTGTTTGAATATAATTAGATTTCCAATCATACGATCATAATACCACTATAAATATCACTGGAATGATAAACAGGGGGCCATGGGTGCTAAAACTCTCCAGAAGGAGGCCCACGAGCCATGAAAGATTGGGAGCCCCTGCTTTATATCTATGTTACAGTCATCGCTATTACTAACGGTGTAAAACTGAGCGCTTCCTAAATTTTAATGTTTTTGTCCTAATGAGCGAAGCTGTATTAGTTAGACACAGACGTTCTCAAAGTGCTCCGTACGGAGCTCCAGGGCTCCGTGAGAGAAACCCAGGGTCTCCGTGAGCTATTCGTTTACTTATTTAAATACTGACAATTAGCTAAATTTGTAACTTCCCAAAAAAGCGATAAATACATTCGGGTCAATAAATGGAGTAATTTAAATTTAATCAGAAATATTAATCGCTGAGTAAGTTTTTAATTATTGTGTAATTATTTGATTAATTCCGTAAACACCTCTTCATGGGCTCCGTAGTTGAAGCGTCGATCCTAGCCTCGTTGGCAATGTAAGCTGAAGACCTAGTCTAGTTGGAGGCGCATGTTGGCCACTCCTCTGAGAACGTATTAACTTGAAAATACTAAATCGAAAAGTTTCCGAACAGTGGGTAATCGATATATAGGGTGTCCATAAAGTCCGTTTACATTTCCAATTTTGTTATGAAGTCAGTTCTCAATATATCTTAATCAGATTTGTTGTTTTTTAATCAGTAATTGTTCAATTATTTTTACTTCATTTAATACATCTGTGAGGGCCAAAGCAATATATGGTATCGATAAATTCCCTTTACAATTTTAAATTTTTTTAGGACATTATGGGCACCCTAATGTCACTGATAACAATAAAGTAAGCATCACCAAAATGAACATACTTCACAAGTTACTGTGATATGCCATTTAATTTTTGAATTCTCTATTTTAAATACTCGAACTTATCGACTAGAAAGTTGTATAAAGTGAAAACAAAATATCCTGTTTTTATTAAAATGAGAAACAAAAGAATCGTCTCGCCGAGGAAATATCTCACAAAAGATGATGAGTCAAACTTCAACACGGAATTTATTTGGGCTGAGAACCAGCGTTGCCAGTTTTTTATATGACTTTAAAATTTTAAGTTAAATATTCGAATTTTGTTTATATTATAATTTTGTTTATATAGGACAAACTTAAACGTTTTCAATCATAAAACACCGTTACACAAAAATCACTAATATCTTGGGTAAAAATTTAAACTAATTCCAGAAAGAGGCTTCCGAAAAAACAGACTATTCTCATACAAAAATCCTAATTAAAGCTAAAAATGTGGCAACCCTATCTGTGAGTACCTCCATAAGAGAGAAGTCCCAGTTTCGATTAGTGTTTGGATTAAAAATATGGGATTGTCTGTAGCTGAGCGTACGTGATATGAACTCATTTGTCTCTGTTGGTCTCTGAGGTGAAGAATTCTTTTCGGCTCGGAAATTACCGGGTCGTCTGTGACTAAAAATCTATGACTAGCATATTATTATTGACGTCGTGTACATACAAAGCAAAAAGTCGACAGATGCGCACAAGCTGGGTAGAAAAGCTATTTAAGACAGGTTATTGGTTTTGTATCAGAATATAATAACCTGGTTGTAATATGACGTCACAGTTTGAAGATAGCACATATCAAAGAATAGAAAAAGGATAAATCCCTAGGAAACCAGTCAAAAGTACAGGTCAAAGGTGTCGAGTCAAAACGTTGCACTCTCTCAGGGTGAAACTGAATGATATGATGAGTTCACTGTTTTTTGACGGTTTTTCACTATTTTTAAGCGTTTTAGCAGGGTTCTTGGTGTTTTTTGACGGTTTTTCACTGTTTTTAAGCGTTATAGCAGGGTTATTGGTGTTTTTTGACGGTTTTTAACTATTCCACAATTTCCGCAATTTCCTCGTGTTAGTTCTAATATCTATCATGGATAAAAATAACAAATCCACATTAAAATGTCTCACATCCTTTTTAGGTTATTTTTTATAGTTATTCAGCGTTTATGAATAGCATCGGCCTGTCGCTTGCCTAAAGATGCAGAGAAAAACGCATTATTTTCCATTCATTGCGCTTCTATCTTTCCTACTTCTTCCGACGATTTTTGCAACAAGTAAGTATATTAATATGCGTTTGGAACTTGACCTAAAATTTTCAGACCAACTTTGAGAAAAAAATACGACTGGTTATATCGGACCCTCAGTAGTATTTTAATCATTCATGTGCGCAAATACAAGAAATTTCAAAGAAAAATCAGACAGAGATGAGGAAGGAGAGTTGACCTTTTTCCTTTATTACTTAGGCCTGCATGTTTACAAACTTTAAAAGGGGCTCCCGAAGTATGCGAACCAAGATGGCGGACATCGGAATGTAATATGTGTACTAGGTTAGGGTTAGGCCATAATTTTAGGTATAAATACTACGGGAGGCTCTTGGCTAGTCTTCGAACTGATAATAGGACTAAAATAAGGAAAATTGGAAAAAAATTATCGCTTAACCCTAACCTGTTACCCATGTTACGTTCCGATGTCCGCCATCTTGGTTCGCTTACTTCGGGAGCACCCTTTAAAGGGGATAAAGTACAAATTAACGACCACAAAATTGAGTTTTATTTAAAAGCAGCAATTTCTTTTTCGTGTAAATATGTTGCTAGTCTGGAAACTTCTTGCCTACCATTGACCTAACTGTGTTTGTGTCGTATCTTAAAGATCTCTGAAGCTAACCTGATACTTATGCCCTCACCCAAAGTCTAATAAATGAAGTACATGAAGCCGAGCTGGAAAGGTCCCGGTTCTCCCAAAAACTGTAGGTCTTCGCAAACTAGTGACTGTTGCCACTTAATAACATTTGTGCTGTACACGTGACTAATTAACCAGCATCCTTTCTCTAAGTAGGTGTTTCCAAAAGTGGTCGAAAATACCCCCCCCCCCCCCCCCCCCCCTGAACTAATTAATTTGGATTATCAAAGAGAAATTTAAAATAGTTTAGTAAAAGTGACGTCACCGGACATGACTTCATAGTATGTCAGAGATCATTACCGAGTTTTCCAATGGACCGGTGATTAAAAAAAGTATTAAATCTATGCACTGGTTGATCTGTATGAGAATATTGTAAATGCGCTGTAACAATAGCAGCTATTACATTTGAATTTCTGGGTACTCCCGAAGTATGTGAACCAGGATGGCCGACACCAGAACGTAGTATGTGTACCAGGTTAGAGTCAGGCCATAATTCCATTCCAATTTTCCTTATTTTAGATCTATTACGATTTCGGGGACTAGCCAAGTGACTCCCGTAGTATTTGTACCTAAAATTATGGCCTAACTCTGACCTAGTACACATACGACGTCCCGGTGTCCGCCATCTTGGTTCACATACTACAGGAGTACCAATTTCTGTTTCATTGAAGTCTAAATTACGTGAATGTATATTTTCACTTTAGATTGCAGTTGTCCTATGTACTATTGTGGAAGCACTTGTTGCAGTTTGGCTGAATATAACCACATATATCCAATGGCGTAAGTAACGTTTTGATATATCAGTAGTGAAGTTGGCTCCAATTACAATTTATTACAAAATAGGGTTGGGCACTTCGAATTGAATATTCGAACCGAATCGAATAGTAAATTAACAAACAAAAATTTCGATACGCCGCCATCTTTTTTATATTTTGCTGCCAAATTTTATGTTATGAAGCAATAATTTTGTAATGTCATTCTGACATATGACTCTTTCCTTTAGTTGGTTATTGATGAAACAATTGTGCTTATTGTGTGCGAACACTCAGGGAACTTCCTGAGTGATTGTTTCCAGTTTCCAGTAATTTATGCATCTGGAGTACAATTGAATTTTTTTTCGAGTCTTCTAGAAAAAATATTTGATTCGATTCTCAAATTTTCATGTATTCGAAAATATCCAGCCCTATTGCAAAACTAACTCGATCCGCCCGATGTTTACGTAGCTGCTGTGTCGTGTTTGCGCTCGTATGGGGTCAGGGGTCAGAAGTGGGTTCGTAACGAGCAACCGAACGGGCTACGTTCCGTAATGGGCAACGGAAAGATCGCAATGGACGGTATATATCACGCCTGTTTGATTCAACAACACACCATAAAACTACGCTATAAATGCTAATAAAGTTAGTTCTTATTTGAACCTTACACACTACGTTCCGTGTCCGCCATCTCGGGAGCGCCCACTCATGTATGCAACAATGAGAGCCATAATATAGTATACCACAAACAGCTCTAGGTAACTAAAGCAATTTTAATTCTTCTATTAATATTTTCTTCAAATTATATTTTTAGGACTGGATTTGCAGAAGGATTCGGGATCGCACTCTTATCTATCATCGGTATTTCAGTTGCAGTAACGAGCTTATGCACATGCTGCAAAAAATACGAATGTAAGAAAGTACGACACGTGCAAAAGAAAAAGCCGAAAATAACTTATACTTTTGAAATAAGAAAAAAAGCGAAAGAATTGCAGAAAAATAAGAAGAAAAAAAAAAATAAAGACACTAAAGAGACGACTGAAATTGAAAATGTCTAATTGCTTTATCAGTTTGTGTGCGTGTATATATGTGTCATAGTCTTATATGTTTGTATATATAGTTTTTGGGGCTCCCGAAGTATGCGAACCAAGATGGCGGACATCGGAATGTAATATGTGTACTAGGTTAGGGTTAGGCCATAATTTTAGGTATAAATACTACGGGAGGCTCTTGGCTAGTCTTCGAACTGATAATAGGACTAAAATAAGGAAAACTGGAAAAAAATTATCGCCTAACCCTAACCTGTTACCCATGTTACGTTCCGATGTCCGCCATCTTGGTTCGCATACTTCGGGAGCACCTAGTTTTTACATATTATGTTACCCTAAAATTTATGAGCGCTTCAGAAGTATGTGTACCAATATGGAGATAACTAATTTTGTTTGCCTACTTTATATCAAGTTGTGTAAATGGACTGAAACCTATGGACAAGGGGATATTCACGTGGCTAACACAGACAGTTCCCGAACTCGTAATGGAACTAAAATAAGGAAAATCGGAATGAAATTATGGCCTAACCCTAATCTGGTACACATACTACGGTAGTACCATTTTATGACCTGCTCGAATATTATAAAAAGGAATTATTCTATATTTTTGTCCGCTAAAAAAGAAAGTATGATGCGCGACCGCGATTTTGTCATAAATCTTAAAGTTCATTTGCTTACAATTCTATACCTACTATAACAGCAGAATATGTCATTAAATCCGATTTAAGTACAAGTGTGTCGTGTATTTTTGACTTCGCCGAAATTTAAACTTTGCCTATGGGTGGATATTGGATACTTATTCTAGTCACAATATTGCTTGCCGTTTTCCTGACCCCTTATTTAACACTTCAAATTATATATAGTCTTCCGCTATTTTCACCAATCAAAACATTACAAAAGAACATCTTGACATGCGGGTTATATTTGAGAAATAGAAAAGATTTCAAACTCCAACTAATAAATACATTGTGTTTGAAAAAGTCATAAACTTTGTGGCTGTCGACCGTCCGTCATCAATATAAGCAATGGAATATTAAAAGCATTAAGTTTTAAGGCAGAAAGAACAGAATGAATTGTTTTCAATCCATTTTTAATTTAAATATGAAATGATATACAGGGTCCTTAACCTGGTTAAGATTTATTGAGAACTGACTTCACAACAAAATTGAAATTGTAAAGAGACTTTATGAACACCTTGTGCATATGGGTATAGTAAAGACTTCGGCCCGCCTTGTCAGTGGTTTTTAATCTTCTTGGTGGACCTCTTGGCGGACCTTAATGAAACATTCCAAAGGTTCAAAGAACCCTTGAGTAATACTTCAGGCGTCAGGCTGTTAGAAGAGTTGTATAAACTACAAATATTTATAAAAGCAAACCTAATATTTAAAGAAAATAATAATTATAATAATACAGGATGTATATAAAGTCCCTTTACAATTTCAATTTTGTTATGAAGTCAGTTCTCAATATAGTATAACCAGGTTTGTTGTTTTTTAATCAGTAATTGTTTAAGTATTTTTACTTCATATAATACATCTGTGAGGTCCAAAACAATATATGGTATCGATAAATTCCCTTTGCAATTTGAAATTTTTTAATACATAACAAAACTAATATTTAAAATATACATATAACGGTGCTCCAGAAGTATGCGCACCAAATTGTCGCATAACCTGAACCCCAACCTGGTACAACAACTATGTTCAGGTTGTGCGCCACCTTGGTGCACATACTTCTGGAGGTCCTACATTCCTACCTAAAACTTAATGCAAACAATACTCTTTTTACTTGCTCAATCTAAATTTCATTTCTATAGTCTTCAACGCCTCGGCGTATCCTTCAATAACTTCCCACACTATGCCTTCTCCTGGGTTGAGCGGGCCGCCATCTTTCACCCAGACACCGTTTGGGTTTGAATCGAAACAATCGTTAAACCAAAAGCCCCCGTTAGTAACTTGAGCGCAATTTATGGAACTCAGGTCGTTGTCCGAATCATGCGTGCTGAATTTCATTCCGTTTTGGTCGACTAATGCGTCTCCTGCCGTTCCCTTGTATTCTCCGATTTGTAACTGGTATTTGCTGTCCTCGTTGCCTATTTTGAAATCCCTGTTTGATGAAACAAAAAATTTGGTTATTTTGGGGTCAAAGGTCAAGTCGAGTTACGGTCTAACATGGCAATTAGAAATCCCCCCCCCCCCTTCAATTTTAAAATTCCCGAATATGCCCCTGTATAAATGGCATTGAGCGAGCGAGTCGGACGAGTTAGACCCAGCGAGTTTAGATCCAGCCTTCCTTTAATAATTGCCGGTACTCAACTACAATCTACCGAGGACGACTTCTATGCGACTTTAACCCAGCCCAGCGTCCGACTACGGTAATGAGTTCTGGTAAAAACTGGAGAAGATTTTATACAAAGTCTGCCAAACAAAAAAAAAACGCTCCTGCCAGCGCTTAAAATAAGAAAAGTAGTAATTGTCTAGTTAGGAATGCAGATTGCGCTGATAAATTCAAATTCTTAGATCATTCATTACCCGAACCTAAATTGGATAATTACTAATTTGTTATTTTAAAACGTGGTCGGGTAATTTTCTCAAATCTCACATTTTTGCATTAGAGGCTTTGTACAGAAGATCCAAACTGTCGATACGACTCTAGCTCCATGCTTGAAATAAACCCTAAATATGGCAATCAACACTAAGCACTAGCTTTCTATAAACCGTGTCCGGAAATTTCGCCACAGGTAATTTCGCCGTAGGACATTTCGCCTTAGGAAATTTCGTCGTAGGACATTTCGCCATAGGACATTTCGCCGCATAGGAGAAGTATTTGTAATAAAAACAGTTAGGTTTTTGCATGCGGCGATTTTTCCTACGCGGCTAAATTTCCTGCGGCGAGATTTCCTGCCGCAAATTTTCCTAGAACCGTTAAACACCAAACATTTACTTACTTGTACGTAGCGTAGGTCTTCACATCATTCCAATCAGTCATGTCGACTCTTAACTCGCATTTTTCCTTGCGAGTCAGTTTGAACATGTTTTCTAGACCTATGACGGAAGAAAAAAAGATTATTGAACACGAGGTGTATAAATGAATCGTTTTGTTGTTAGAATTCTTTTTCTTGTTTTATGAAAAAAATCTGTTTTATCATTCACTAATGGGTGCTCCAGAAGTGTGTGTGCCAATATGGAGGTAACTAACTTGTTCGCCTAATTTACACAAGTTGTGTAAAGGGACTGAAACCTATGGGCAGGGGGTATATTTACTTGGCTAACACAGACAGTCCCCGAGCTCGTAATAGAACTAAAATAAGGAAATTCGGAATAAAATTATGGTCTTACCCCAACCTGGTACACACACTTCGGGAGTACCAACTAATTGACCAATTGTTTTGAAATTTTCAGTGGTTAAAGTTTCGCTATTACTTTCTTTTGTTTTAAACATTTCATGAGCTCTTAATTGAGGGATTCGTTTTTTTGTGTGCGATAACCATTTTCAATTTTTTTCTTCAATCATAGTCTAGAAAAACTAACAATATGTGTTGTAGATTAAATGTATAGGCTTCGAAACACATGCCTATCCCTCACTAATAGTCATATCCATTGGTGGGATTCAAATTTTTTTTCAGAATGTTCTTTCACAAAAGTCCAATTTTTCAGCCGGTTCTGTTACAAACAGAACATTGAGAGTAACCAGTAATGCTAACCGGTTCGCTGATCTCATAAAATTCCGTGAGACGGTTCTATAGAACCGGTGCGAGCCGGCTGAATCCCACCACTGGTCATACCTAATTATGTAGATGTCGTAAGTAAAAATTCTCAAGTTTATACGCCGTTCTTAGCCCTATTATACGATTGTTATAAATCTAGAAAGTTATTTTGAACTTGAAATATTATCGTTTTTCTAAGAAACACGACAGCTTCTTACCCCTGAGTGGTTTCGAATCGAATATTAAATATTCGAATCAGTTGGGGCGGATCGGTTGCGTTAATTTTTTTTCTGGCGCTGCGTGTTTATTTATTTTTTTCAAAGCAAACCTTTGGGTCAGCTGTCAAAAGTCAAAGGTTACCTAGCCAGAAACTTTCGTCAAATTCACCGAAGCCTTCCTTATATTCATTCCATGTTTTGGTGAAACTCATAGTGCTATTAAACATTCGTCTTTGGAAAACCTAAAAGAGAAATGGTAATAAGTAAATATACTGCTGCTGTATTTTTATGAGAGTTTTTGTTTCTCTATGCCAGAGGTGGCCAACCTGCTTTGACCGCGATCGATTGAAATTTTTCATGCTTCATTACACATTTTTATGTTCTCTTTAATTTGCTAATTTAGTTACGTAAATGTACCCGGAGTAAATCTTCATCTTTTATTAGAGATTTATTCGAATCATTTCATTCAGATCAAATGAAACTGATTCAGGGCATTTTTTAGGATATGTAATGAAGCCTACCTACTCATCATCAAATGCGATAGAGTAGATTACCCCGAGACCTGGCGATCGACGTGTTGGCCACCCTAGGTTTGCACATTTTTACAGACGAACTGAACTCATGTTTTTTTTTGTTATTAGTTGATGTTTAAAAAATCGTCGTTCTCATTCATTAATATCATCCGAAATTTTGCTATATTTTTATTTTTTATCATACCGTGGTTTTCAATTTGTTGCTTCCACGTATACAATTACTTTTGAGTAACACTTCAATAGTAAATATAAAATAAACAATTAAACTCAGATATAAAATAAGAAAATAAAATCAGTAACTTTTGGGTTTGCTGAAAAAACATGCGATCCAAAAAACCACCGCGGCGGCGTGGCTCATCGTGCCAAGCATTGGAATACGCTCGCCACCGCACCTCTAATTACTCTGCGTGGGTTCGCAGGTTCGAATCCCATGCGGGGATGATTAAGTGCGAGAGAATTGCCAGACTCCTCGCCGCCGTAGGGTGGTTCACGTAACAGCTGGTCGGTTACGGCTTCCTCTACCATCAAGTCCATGCTTCCAAAACAAATACCTGGCTAACTAATCCCATTTCCGACATGGAATGGTAGCCGGATGAGAGGTCATGGTTCGCCATATGGTTAAGCCGTCATATCGGCTTTCTTCTTCTCGGGATAAATATGTAAATCCTAATTTTC